CATCTAGATCTAGGTCTTAATTTTTAATATTAGAATATTTAAGAAAAACCCTCACTTTCTCCTAGTATAAGAATTTTGACATTTGCTCTCTAGTTATTCCTCTTCTCTACTTTATTTACCAACCCTCCAAGAAATATGAAATTTAATGTAAATTACTCATTGTAATTGCTCAGACAAAAGATAACTTTCATAGCCTTCAATCTTATTTAGTTACAGTACCATAAACTAGAAAATCAGACCCCACTTGCCATGCCTACCTGTCAAATCTTCTTTCACAAATTGATAATAGTTCTCTCTTGACACTCGATAGAAAGCCAACGTTTTAATCTATTGAATGATGTATTATATTACATTATTTTATGTACAGAGAATTGTCTATTTCACTTCCATTTCATATTTTATTCCTATGGAAAAACACATCAACGAATTTAGCTGAATTCCTAATGGCTCTTGTTGCATAGTTAGAAAGCCAGAAAAATTATAATAGTTATAAGACATTGTCTGCTATTTGCATGATATTATTCTGTATTCAGCATTATTTAATTAAATAAAAATTATTTAGTGCAGTAGTATCATTAGTAAAAAAATTATAGGGTTAAGTTTCAACAATAGTGAACAGAAAAAAAAACAAAAAATGTATGCACTATATTTTCTTGTTTTTCATTTGTATTATTTATTCATTGTTATAAAAGTAACTAAAATGTAAAAATTAAAAACTTTTTAGATTAAATTAGGTAAAATATAGAAGAATAACAATAAAACTTTTTCAAGAGATATGCTCATGACCAGTCATAATCTGATTGGGTAGCATGAGCTACATGTTTGCCTTGTGATTTACAACTTGTGTGGTGGGAATGTTAGTTAGATATGGTTCAGAGGGCAATAAAACAATAAAATGTAAGTTGATACAGGTGTATACTGTTACTTACGACTTTAAAGCTATTTAGGATATACAAATGTTGTTTCATGATACAATTTGAAGAAACAAGATTTTATTTATTGACCAAATTTGTATGGGAATAGGGTAGAGAAAATAACAGATAAAATATAAGTTTTACTAAAAAACATTTGAAACTTGAGAATTTTCAGATGAAGAAAAATATTTTTAATCTTGACAGGAAATTCACTTTGCAACCAGAGCAGTCAACACTTTGACTCCATATATTCACAGACAAATTTTTAGTGACAGTACTTTACTAAAATTCGGATTTTTTGTCTACAAAAGACTTTAATGCTTACTGAAAGCTTGTGAAACCTAGTGAAGATACACAAAACGTATTAGAAGTTACAGTATGGAAACTATAAAAGTCAATATGGGGTCACGAACTCGGCTGATTTGACCAAGCCCATTGCAAGAGGGCTAAATATTTCCCAACTAAAGAATCTTATAGAATTCCTTTTCCATTACATGTCATTCTACACTCAAGAATATCTCATATTCTGACAGAATATTTCCACTTCTTTCATTTACAGGCATTTAAAAACTAATTTTGTCTACAGTTCCCCTTATCATGAGTTGGAAGGATAAAACTTTACATTCTATCCTCATTCATTTTAAACCTTACAAAGCTGTATCACAGAATTCTTACCAACTCTGTGGTAAAAGATATGACTTTTAAAAGTTATTGAAAACTATCAGATCTTTCTTTGAAATACTATTAAACTCACTATAAAATCATAAGAACAGTTTATTTAATTTTTTCTTTAATTTTATACAAAATGCAACCAAACAATTTTTGTTTTATCACAACTTCATATTTTTTTATATACTATTCTTCCAAGGTTTCTTTAGAAAATTTTCTTTTTGTTTTTTGATCATTTATTATTTGTATACATCATTTCTCTGTTTGTTCTTCATCCGTTTTTCTTTATTAGTTTCCTATACAAGAAATCACTGTTGCCTTTGCAACATTCATTTCCAGAAACATCATGTGTTTGTTTGTCTGTTTTTTTAAGTGCTGACCATATAAATCTGCATCTAGGTGTGTTTGCCAACAATTTACCTGACTACCAGAAAATAGAAATCATGATGTTCATCATGGGAAAAGTTCCGTTATCAGGAGAAGAATCTCGCAACACAGATGTTCTATTACAACATATTCTGTTAAAAAGTTTGTTGGAGGTGTGTATGCATGTTTAGTGTTCTAAGCCTGACTAAATAAAACTAGTAAATTACCATGAAAATTCAAGGGAAACAAGAACTGTGCAGTGTGTACAAACCTTTATATATATACCTTGTATTGAACAGCTATCTTGGTGCTTTTGTCAGTTTTCAAGTAAATGTATAATCCAAAATTCCCTGAATCCTTTACCTGGAGGCCCTAATGAGTATGAAATGTTTGAAAATTTCAACATTGATATGAATACAACTGCTAGAACCCCAAAACTCCATTGTTCCCCATATGGCGACTCCAGTTTGAAAGGTTTCCAAATGACTCCTTACATGGTAATATCAGTTTTAAAGTAAATCAGTTTAGGTAAACAGAAAAGCAGCCAAAACTTTCATGATCTTCCTACATACAAAAGTTGTCTTTTCAATATCTGAAAAATCAATTAAAAATATAGATAGTCATAGGTACATTTGAGAATTACTATGTAGATCTAACAGCGTAAACAAAATGGCAAAAAAAGTTTCTAAACTAATGTATATATGAGAAATTGGTTTACCTTATTTTATAAGAAAATGATTTTTTATCCAGGTTATGGTAAAACAGTACTGTAGAATATTGGTTTTTCTTTCAGTTATAATCCATAACTTTGATATTCATTGTTTTTATTGCTATTTAAAAACCCTTAGTGAATTACTAACTTCAATGAAACTGATTTCATATAACTGCTTTCCCGCACAATGTACTTAAAATTGGTGTTTTACTTTAGTAATTTTTTTTTAATTAGTTTGTGGAATTAGAGGGTTGCTTGCTTTGTTGAGTTCTTTTACACATTTGTATCAATAACAAAATTAGTAAACTTGTTTCTTTGAAAATATTCTTTCATTTTTTTTCCATCTTTATGGATAATAATTACTGGTAATTTTATAGGGCTAATTAATAAAATTTGGTACAAAATTGTTATTCTATCCATGTGTGCCTACATGCATTTGCTCAACCCAGTAAACATGAACCTGTTATAAGTTATATTTTTAGTATAAGCAACTGTATCCACTTCATTAAAGAAGGTACTTAATGACACCTTTTTTTAAATCAGAAAGTTGAGTTTCTTTGTTTAACCAGTATTTGAATATTAAACATATTTATATCATTTTTATAGTAGAATAGACCATTCAATCAAAGTTACCTTTTGTGGACATGGGTTGGTCATAACAACGGAAGTTTTAACATTAGGGCTTATTATATGCATATTACAGAAATTTTTATGTATATTATTCTTATATGTAAAGCATTTCACTGAATTTAATTGAAAACCATGTAAATCAGACCTGTAGAATTACTAGTAGTTATGAATTGTATCTAACTTTAGGTATATATGAAAAGCATTTTAGAAAACCTTCACAAAGCTACTATTCCTTTAATTTTACTATAAAATGGAGAAAATACTGTTAAATTCAAAAATAAATTAATGAAATTAAATTACGATAACTATCCTAAAGTACAGTTAAGATGTATTTCCAAATCAGTTATTACAAATGAATAACTATTTAAATTTAAAGACAATGTAAACAACCCATTGCTTGTTTACAAGTTCATATGGAAGATGTTAGATCGGTCATTAGTCTCTCCTTAAATAAGCAGAGCACTTAACATCAACAATTGAAAAACACATCTAGCAATACAAAAACATGTCTATGATTAATAACATCATTATCAATTCTAGTCATTTCAAAACTATTGATTGAATTCAAAATGAAAAGTAACTCAGTATACTTGTGAGTAGCTGACTAAAAACTATGTTGTGAGGCAACAACATTCAGTTTTTCCTTTAACTGTGAAATGTGATTTGTGTATATGAATCTTTAAACCTTTTCTTTATAGTATTGTCATGTTCTTTATACTGTGTGTGCATGTGTGTGTATATATATATACATATTGTAAAATTATTTTATTTTATATTTGTTCAGTTGTTTCTTACATGTATATTTGCATAACTTGGCAATGAGTTGATTTCAGAAATAGTATTTTAAAGAAAATAATGTTAAATACATTATTCTTTCTCTCCAGGTTGGTACTAAATATCGAACTGTACAGATGGCTCAAGCTTTTCCATCTGCATTTCTTCAACCTCTGCTAGACATGTCATTAGCTACTGATCCAGCAGTTCGACTTGTTGTTCAACAGATTTTTCACACTTTATTAGATCGTCATGAGAACTTACCAAAACTTCAAAAAACAAGGTCAGTGTTGATTTTAAAAGACTATTACAACCTAGATATAAATCTAAAAGCTTTTGTAAGACTGTGTAGTGGAAGTTTGTTTCTGTTTGTCCATATCACATACTTTTAACTACATACCTGCTAATTTTTAGTTGTTGTGTATCTTTGACAGAGATGTTAATGATAAGAAACAATTATAGATGAGGCTAAAGACAGAACTGCAATGTAAGATATCAAATCTACCTCTTCTTGAAATAATCATAGTACTTTTTCTTTACTGTGTAATCCATGAAAACTAAGTTTTACCATTTCTCTTCTTTACACATTCTTCTGACCAGATATAATTGTTTTTCTTATATGCAGTATGTATTGGCCAGATATTACTGTCTCACTTCTGTGCACTGTGTAATGACCCGATGTTACTGTTCTTTTTTCTACGCAGGATGTAATGACATACATTACTCTTTTTCTTCTCTGCAGTGTATACTGACCATACATAACAGGGTTTTTTACTCTATAATTGTAATTACCAGGTGTTAGTTTTTCTTTCTTATGTGTAGGATGTATACTAACCAGATGTTATTTTTTTATGTAAAATGTGTAATAACTAAATGTTGCTTTTTTTTTAATTCAGAATGTAATGATCATTAATTTTCTCATATGTATAGTGTGGATGGTCCACTACCTCAATTGACAGTAGACAAGTGTTCACGTCAGGACATGATGTTCATAAAGAAGAATGGTCCTGAGATTATGGTACACATTTATGAAAATGTCCAGTTGACAAATAACACGAAGGATAATTTTGAAGCACTTTATGTTACTCTTGGATTGTTGTGCATTGAGTTGGGAAGTGATTCTGAAGCTCTTATTGAGTTAATGAGGTTGATATTTGCAATTCAGGTAGGTTTGTTCAGTTTAACTCCCTGTCTTTTTTAAATTTTAAAAACTTAAATATATATATGATTAATTCGTTAGAGGTAAACACTGACTGACACTTCTTTTTGATGAAAGTTTGTAATGTCATTGTTAATCATTCTTCTGTATTACAAAGTACAAGAGTTGATAAATTTTCATTTTGTGAAATCCACATTTGAAATTATATTAAACTTATTTTAGTATAAAATGAAATTGGAACTGTTTCTGATTTATAATATAAAAAATTACAAAAAGTTCATTGTACAAGAGATATGTTACAAGTATTTTATTTTATTGAAACCATTGACACCTAGACTTTCTGTTTTGAATTCTGTAGTGGAAGGCCATAAGAAGTAGTTTGCCCAAGATTCAGATCTATCTTAGCCCCTGGATTATTCAGACTTGAAATTCTTATTTCAGTTTAATATGAGAAAAAGTATATTTTCCTTGATGTAAACATAACATTTGGGCTTAGAAACTTGTTGAACACCTTTCTGTGTCACCAGTGAAATCATGTATTATAACCATGCTTTATTATTGTATGGCATGATATATGTTACATATATGTGTGATAAATATAATTAAATATACTGGTATATTCAATAATTCACTTTTTAAACCTGGGAAAGGACCTACCTAACACTACAAGTGCAATGACAGCATCCCATCGAGCATCAGTTCATGCACTGGTGGCATCTTTCTTGTATGTGGTTGGCCATCTAACAGCCATTCCTTCCTTCTGTACTCATATTGAACAGGTAAATATAACACAATTTATTTTGTTCACTTGTGTCTTTATTAAGTTAAGCTATTTGATTTCAAGACAGTCTCTTGTTACAAAAAATAATATTTTGATAGTTGTAAGCATAAATTTTATATTCCAATAAGATACCTTACCTCTGTTCTCATAATAGCTTTTCTCAACTGTTGTCCTCAATATGTGAAATTTTTGCTTATCACTAGCCTTGATACTCCCACCTCCCCTCACGTATTTACATGTGGTATAACTGTACTTTAACATGCCAAAAAGCATGCAACAACCCTCAAGCAATAGGAGTGTGACACACCCTCCTAGCGCAGCTGACTCCCTCTATACTGTAGACTACTTTCATCACTTATAAATTTGGCATTCTAGTGTGCAGTCATGAGGTAATTTTGCTCTTCATTTTCGTGTGCAATTTTCAGTTAATTTTATCATGTTTGACAACTTAGTTTGTTGTCATTTCATTTCTGCCTACTCAGTTTTTGTGGAATTTTTTTTTTATCTCCACATTATGAACTTACGCTTTAATGTTGCTACATTGAATTCAGCCATAAATCTGGCCACTGTTGATCCACTTACTATTTCTATGGCTTTGGGATCCACACACTCTACTGAGGAGGTCTTGGCCATGGTTCTTCGCAATTGAAAACTCTCATGTGGCCCGCTGTGTCTCCAGAAATGTAACTGGATCTCCTGTTTCCAGGAGAATTGGGCCAGGACAGTTAAGATTTAGACAACTGTTCCTACCTCCTTCCTTTGCAGTGTATTCCATACTACACCTATGGATTTACCTCATTTTTTCGTGCATCTTTTTGGGAGTGATTTCCTAGGTATGTTATCTGTCTAATCTCAACTGCTTCATTGACCTCCCTCAGTTCACCATGGAGTCCTTTCACACTCTTTGGTGGGCATTCACTCTTGAGTCTTTGGATAACAAAAGTCGATATCTCGAATGCATACCATTATATTGCTATTTCTCCAGGCTCCAGATGTTACTATCATTTGGTTCACGGAGGTCATGTTTTTCAATTCCACGCTCTACCTTTTGGTCTGGTGTCTGTATCTTATGTCATATGGTCAGAACCTTTTCTCACCATCTTCATGACCAAGGTTTGTGGCTCCATCACTACATGGGTGACTGGCTACTTTTAACTCCACCCCAACAAGCCTTTCTCTCTCATACACATTTCCTCCTACAGGAAGCTGCTCATGTGGGATAGCTAGTCAAGCTGGAGAAGTCCTGTTTCAACCCCACACAATATCTGATACATTTGGGGGTGTTTTTCAACACCTTTCTTAGCCCCAGCCTTCTATTCTTCATTTGAGGTCAATGGAGCTCTTGGTTTCCAAAGCTAAATCATCTCCTCCTCTCCCTGTACATAAGGTTCTATCTTTTTTGGGTACCTGGGCATCCATGAAAGCTCTTATAACCTGGGGTCATGCACACTTGTGTGGTCTTGGATTGGTGTTGCACAATCAGTGAAATCTCCTTACCACTTCTCTCCCTCCAAGTAGGCTTTACCTGGTGGCTCAACAGAGACAACACCTGGGGTGGTGTTCCTCTGCCTCCTCACCTTCCAGGTTTGCACCTGTTCACGGTTGCATCCCTTACAGGATGGGGTATGTATATAGGTTCTCAGGAGATTGCAGATCATTGGACAGTGGTCGAATCTTCCCTGCACTCAACCTTTTGGAACTTATTGCAGTTTGTTGGACCTTGGATAACTTCCTACTTCTGGTAAGGGGCCATTTGGTCATGATCCATTCTGACAATTCAACCGTTGTTTCTTACATCAATCATCAAGGGGTGCCCATTCATGTTTGCTTTGCTTTCAAATGTTGGATTTTTTCTTATGGGCCCAGTCTCAGCATCTTCATTTTCTTGCTTGTTACCTGGGGCCTATGAAACTTGTAGCAGATCAGTTATCTTGTCCAAACAAGATTGTAATTATGGTGTTGTCTCTTGCTCTCCTAGTATTTTGGTGGTTATGCTCCCCTTTCTCTCCTCTTCTGAATGCATTTGCCACCCACCTCAATACCAAACTGCCCCTCTTTTGGTATTTGGTTCCACATCCTGTAGCTTTAGTGGTAGACTAACTTTTACCTTTATGCCTATCCTCCTATCCATCTTCTCCTTTATGTTCACTCCTAGATTCAAACCACCCCACATTGACTCTTTATCATCGTCCCATTCTGACCTACTCAACTATGGTTTCTGATCCTGGCCCTCCTTCAGTCTTCCCTTACTTCTTCCACTTTGTCAATCCCTTCTCTGTTAACCTCAGTCCACCATATTTCATCACGCTATCACCATTCTTCAACTTTATATGTGTATTTTGTCCTGTCCCTTGCAAGACATTCTGGACTCTCTATATGGGTAGCCTCCCTTCTGTCCTGTTCAGTACACCCTTCTTCCTTGAATGTCTACCAGAGAAAATGACACATTTTCTGGCATTGGTCTCTGCATTATTGTTTCTCACTCTCCCACCCTACTGTTCCCCACCTTTCAGATTTCTTTACTGGGCCATTCAACAGTGGTCTATCAGTATCCACCACTGCTGGCTATAGGGCAGCCTTACCTAATATCTTTGATTTCTCCCACTCCCCTGTTTTGCTCCTTTCATACGATTTGTCCACCCCATCCTTTACCTCTGCCTGACTGGAATCTCAGTGTGGTCCTTCATGCCCTTACCCTTCCTTCATTTGAACCTTTGGCCACTTCCTTGTTGTATTTGTTGCTCCTTTTGCTTGTGGACGTTGTAGGTTTGATATCTTCGCTATTGACGTCTCTCGTATCCATTATCACCATACCTATGTATTCTTTTTATCCAAATTGTAATCTTTTCCCCAAAACATAAGTAGTGCATGAAGGGGACATCACCTTCCTGCCTATTTCCTTCTCTCCATTTGTATTTCCGTGCTGATCCTGATTATCTTCTATGCCCAGTATATGCTCTGCATTGTTTTGTTGCCTGCACTGCTTCCTTCCATATTCCTGTTCCTGCCTATTTATACCATAGAATACTTCTACCCATGGCCTTTCTCTTGTCACCCTTACTGGTTGGCTACCCCAACTTATTTGGCTTGCTAATTGCATTTTCAAAGTCTCCTCCCACCAATCACCCATTGGAGGAGATTGTATAGGCTGGCATGTGAACCATGCTTCACACTTTTATAGCCCATTATTTGCATCATGTGTCCATCTCCTTTTCATCTGGCTATCACTTGTCTCCCATCACCATCCTCCATATCTCATATTGTCTGTGAGACGGTAAGTTCTTTCTTTTTATCTCATACCATTACAGTGGCTCCTCAATGCTTGGATCTAACTTTCTGGTGAGTGGTGCCTCTCCAGGTATACTTCAACATAAATCTACACCACACGTCCATGTAGGTCTGTAACTCTCACTGAAAAGATGAGGTTTTCTACAAGACAACTCGAGGTTGCCTCACAGTATTTTGCTTCATAAATAAGGCCCAAAAAAGACTGTACCAACTCATGGATTTTTGTGAGTAAAGCAATGTCAGGATTGCTGCCTATCTTTCCAATTCTGGTTGAATAAATTAGGACCATTTCTGATCACCCATTGCACATTCTTAAGGTGTAGCATTCCTTTGGACCCCCAACTGCATTCCTCCACCCCTGCCCTAGTGGTGTAAGGGAGTCCTTACCAGTTCCTAGCTGCTGAGGTTGTTGACAATTGAAAGCTTCCTCCTGAGTGTGACTGCTTCCACTCAGTCGAGAGTAGGGCAGTGGTGTTCTATCAGTGTAGATGGTGAGTACTTTCCTCCTACTGTAGACCGAACATAAATTCTCAATGCCATCTGGTTTTGGACTGGATGAATCCACCACATGCAGATCAACATAGGACCAGCAAACATAAATCTTCACACATGTGGTTGGTAGGGGCCCACCTCCTACTGCAGACTGGAAGAAAAATTTCCCAAACCACTAGGTTTTGGATTGGAGTTGACCAAACACATTTGCATTCTCCCTTTCTAACATCACCCAGATGTCAGGTTCCAGGAAGGCCTGATGTTGGTTGTATATTTGGTCTGCACACATGTGCCCTGCCTTGGTGGTCAGAATGGAAGTTGATTTTTCCCTTTTGATTCCTAGGCTTGAGGTGAATACAGTCCTTTTACCACAGACTGGAAAAAAATATTCAATGCTGCCTGGTTTTGGACTGGAGTTGACCCACCAAATATGGTTTTATGTGCCCTAGCCACTGTACACTACCTGGCTTGTCCATTACAGATTGGACATGCATCTTTCTGCCCAATTTAGCAACACATATCTTTACAACAGGAGAAGAGTATACCTGGTACAGATGGAGTGAGGTTTCCAACAGGTGTGACCCTATACATTAAGGTATCACACTCCATGAATTCTCTTTGGGTGTCTTCTGAAGAGTCCTCATCTAGGTAATGGAGGTATTGTATCAAAAGTTAACATTTTCTTACACTGAAAATGTATTTCTGATAGATACTTACCTCTTCTTACTCATCCTCCTCACTCTCAGTGTATCCTTTTGACTAATCTTGAAGTGATGAAAGTACTCTACAATATAGAGGGATTCAGCTGTGCTAAGAGGATGTGTTACTCTCCTATTGGTGGAGGGTTTCCACATACTTATTTGTATGTTATAGTGCAGCTTATACCACGTATAAAGATGTGTGGGAAATATATTTTCAGTGTAGGAAAATTTAAACATTAATGCTTTTTGTTTGTCTTAATTAGTTTACAGCTTTAATAACTATGGTAATTATTTATCCCAAGTGTTATTAAGATTTATCATTAGTACTGTGCAATAGCAGCAGAACACAGCAAAACATATTACATTAGGTATTTTTGTAGTGTGGGCAATACCAAGAAGGGTAACATGGGTGTGCTAAGTTTATGAGAGACTTAGATTCATTTATTTGGACAGTTCAGTTAGCACATGCTCATATTTAAATAATTACAACTATTTATGTATGAGCCACAAGCTAAACTGTCAAATGGGAGACGCATGTTAACCTCCCCACCTCCAAAAAAAGAAGAAAATCTGTGTTTAGCTGAATAGCTACTAATTTTATTTTTAAATTAAAGGCTGCAAAAATGTGTATCTCTAAAAAGTACACCAAGGTATCTTCCATATCTAGAATCATGAAAATATTAAAAGGATGGCATTCAGTATCATCAGTCTGACTGGGTTAATAAAAACTGACTTAAAGGACTGCAGTTTTTAGCTATTCGTGGTATGGGTTTCATCACATAATGTGAGCTTCATCAGTTCCAGAATAAAATCTGAATGTTCAGGAAGTGTATCATGTGTACACATAGGAGTTTGATGCATTTAAGAGATAAGCACACAGAAGACTTGACTTGATTGAGGTGTGGTCTCAGTGTATCAGCAGGCCTTTTATATATATACACATCATTATTTTTATTTAAGATCCTTAAATATTTTGAATGGATGACAGTGTCACTTTTACCTGAGGTATCTTTCAATACACATTTGGCTTGGTAGGTGCTTTGACATTTGTATGTATTTCACAAGTGACTGTAATCAACTTGTGGTAGAATATAAATGTCTTTCTCAAGTGACTGTAATCAACTTGTGGTAGAATATAAATGTCTTTCTCAAGTGACTGTAATCAACTTGTGGTAGAATATAATTGTCTTTCTCAAGTGACTGTAATCAACTTGTGGTAGAGTTAATATACCCTTTGTCAGAATTTAAAATATAATCTTCTTTTTCACCAATTGTCAAAATAAAAGGCTTTTACTTATATTTCTTAATAATATAAATATATACTATGTTGTTGTTGAGCTTAGGATTCTTCTACAGTAGTGTCTGTGACTTGTTGCCAGTAAATTCAAT